AACAGCTAACCCTTCCACCCCTAGAATCATCCTAGTACCCTTCCCAATGAGAAAATATTATTTATTAAATAAGGAGATGAAAACTGAACACAATCTTTCAAGTGGGGCCTAATCAGTGATTTTTATAGAGAGATGATAACAGGAGGTCAGTAGAGCTTGTATGTTTACTGTGACTAGAAAAATAAATCAAGCCATACAGTTCTGGAGAAATATTTACACAAACTACTTACCAGAAGAAACAGATGCAAGAAGGAGACATCCCAAAACTGCATCCTGTGGAGAAAACAAGACCCATCTGGCTGGCACAACCACTGGGAATAGTTTGGGTCTTAGTGCCTCGGTGGCCTGTACTACACTTACAGGAAAACATCCCAGCCATACTTCTGATTGAGATTTACATTCACTCCATCTCATAACAGTGGGATTACACCAACTTGAAGTGGAACTTTCCATATCAATTTCACCAGCTGCTTAGGACTAGGGAAGCAAGAGTTTGCTCATTACTTCACTACAAGAAAAAAGGGGGAGTGGAAGGAATTTTTGTAGGGAAGAGTACTGAAGAGGTGTGTGGGCCAAAAAAGGATTTTCCATCCTCTACATAAGTTCCCAGACTTGTGCAATGAGTTACTGTAAATAGGGACAGCAGGCACTATACACATGGTATTGTAATTTTTTTTTCCTGAAGTATGACCTGGAAGATAAAATATATATACTACTGAAGTAGTCTTGTAGAAAAACTCATCTCAACAATCCAAAATGAGCAAGAGCAGATGGGCTTATAACTTTCTGTTATCTTCCACTCTCTCAATGTGGATTTCAGGTGAAAGAAGCAGTCTCTGTGAGGCATCTCTGGCCAGGTGGTGAATTCCATCATCTCCAATATATATTCCTAGAGATATAATACAGGTGATAAGGGAGATGGAAAAATAATAAAAACTCACCTACCTAGAGCTTCTGAGAAGATTGGAAAATGGTAACTGAAAAGAGATGAAAGTGCAATGTAATGAAAGTAATGGGACACAAATGTGTCAGGGGCTGTCCACATCCCCACCTGCAAGATTTCATCCAAGGTATATTGACAGTTTGAGGCAAGAGGAGCCAAGATATGACAAATTTGATGGGAAGTGACATGTAAAAGTGAAAATGCATCACCTTCCATAGAAAACTAAACAAGAGTATGAGTAAACTCACAGCAAGAAAAGATGTTGATGATTACCTCAAAAGAAGCAGTATGAGTGAGATAACAATTGTGTCTGAACGGAAAGGAATATTTATGAGAAAGGCTCAGAAAAGGTCTGTACAAACGAGCAAAAAGAAAAACGAATGGCTAAGGAAGAGACAGATGGTCACTGAAGAACATACAGAAAAAGCCTGGACCAATCCTGACTCAGAGCATATACAGCCAGATCTGCAGAGCCCTGGACTAGTAACCAGTAAGGTGAAAATCTAGGTGGCAAGAGAGTTGCAAAGATGTTGATAAGAGAACTCACAAAGTGGGAACAAAACCACTGAAATGCCAACCTGTCTCTCATATATATTGTTACATCTCCGTTTGTTAATTAATTTTCCGTAACTTAGTTCCAACGAAACTTTAGTGACACAAGTCCTTTCTTAAATAAAACTGGTTTATTCTTTCTGAATATAACTTTACCGATACACTCAACTG